CAGTGAGGCATTAACCAGGGGGACTAGTGGAAACTAAGTGAAAGTTTAAACCTCATTGTAATTAATGTAAAATGCTTTTGTATATATTTATACAAAACAAGCTACCCAACCACAGTTGTAAAGCTGATACCCTGACTTATTTCAGGAGATGTCTAGAACAGATCAATCCGTCCAGCAGTTAAACTTGCTAGAGGAGCCGAACGGATTCTTCTTATGTTGTTATGTAAACAAAAAAGGCAGTAGATAGTGCAAACCGCCATGAGATCCCTTGGCACCCTGCAGTGTAAGCCAAAACAGAATAACTGTGGCACCCTGGGGGGGATAATTTTTTCAAAAATTTAAAATCAAAGGCTTGGCAGATCATAGCTTTAGCTGAGTGCTGGACTTTCATGAGCTGAAACATTCACTGGCAGTCTTTAATTCACCCTTGATTGCGGCAGACAGGCTCCCATTCGCATCGGCTTTGTACTTTTAAATCAAAGTTCCCTTGAATAGAACAGGTCGGATCTCAAGAATGAATACCCAGTGAATTGATTATAAACCGGGGCCATGTTTATACACGGTGGAAAGAGGCAACTGTTATCTAGAAATCTGCCGACAAAACAAAATGGAAAATGGAAGGGGTGAGAAGGAAAAGTTATTCCGTAGTAATCACATGAAAAAAAGTTCTGTTCTAGAATGGGGGGGGATTCATTTATTCCTGTCAGAATTCAATCCATGATCTCAAACAGTGAGCCGTGAGGAAAGGCTTCAAGATAAATCCGATAACACAGGTTTTATCCTCGAGCTTTATTTACCTTGGATCACACTTCAGGCCTGACTGCTGGCAAAAGGTCTGTGTTCTTTACAAGACATATTAATCACACTGGAATGCTTGTGGGATTAATGATTGAGGTTAAGGTTGGATTTATTATTTTTATTACCTCAAGAATGAAGTATTTGTTTTTGTCGGGGGTAATATCGACACAAGTTGTTATACCGTTCATTGCTACATCCAAAAATTGAACTATATATTTTGTTTTTTTATTTTCATATTTTAGCTTGTTCTAATCAGTGATTTGATGTTAACAGATATAATCACACTCACAGTTTTCAATTAAGGAAAATGTCCACTGCACTTCCTGATTGTTTTTTGTTCTTCAGTTGGAGCACATTTAGAGTTCTTAGTCATTACGATGCCATCTGGTGATGCTATCCTGTCTTTTTGCAGGGACATAACCTCCAACATTGAGATCATGCAGCTGGACTTTGAGATGGAGAACTTCACCAGCCAATCGGTCACCCGACGCATCAACTGGAACATCGACTACCAGGGCTCGAACCCACCCCCGGATTCAGAGAAGGTGGTCACAGAGCTGACGGTTGTCCAACGGGACATACAGGCCATCATCCCTCTGTCCATGGTAGGAAGCTTTGTGTCTCGCTTAACATGCATAGACAAAGGCTGAAACAGGAACCGCATGGTGGCACAATGGGTTGGGTTCCTGGGGTACTGTCTGTGTGGAGTTTGAACGTTTTTACCATGTTTTTTGGGTTTCTCCTGGTCCTCCAGTTCCCTCCCAGGGGTAGCTTAATTGGCTTCTAGGAAAATTGTTCCTCGTGTGAGTGTGTGCGTGTCTGTGGGTGCCCCGCAATGGACTGGTGTCCCGTCCGGGGTGTGTCTCACCTTGCGCCTGTCACTTGCGGGGATAGACTTTGCAGCCCTCTTCTGGAAATGAAAATGGATGGTGGTGGAAACAGAAAGAGTTTCAAAGCCAGTTCTCCCCTACACATGTTAGCATTTTCAGAAATGGATGTGTAATGTATATTTGTGTATAAAGTACTGTGTACTGCTTCATAATTAGAAGTATGTTTCTTAGCAGACACTCTTATCCAAGGTTATATACAGAGGTCTGTGAAAACATGTAATTAGAGAAATCATACAATCGCTTTTTACTGCATCTTAGAACTACAGTAATACCTCAGTTAATGAATTAGATTTGTTCATCACTTATGTACAGTATACACAACTACTCCCAGGTAACTCTGCTACCAGAAGAAGAAACAACTAAAGAGGCACTGAAACATATTCCAAGTCTTTTGAGGAGATGAATGCAGAAGGAAAATGTCATAAAATACTTAAACGTTAAATGTGTCAGTAAACTTGCTATATGAATTTTAAAATATGAAGGAACTTTAGATGAGATGTTTTTAAAATGATCCGGTATGCTCAGTACATTATCTCTTCTCTCTCCCACATTAGACTGTTGTGTGGATGATAAGGTAAAAAAAAAACATTAAACCCTAAAACATACAACACAATTTGATACAGGTTTGGACATGAAGAATCCACAAGCCCAGGGGCAGTATTTCCATATCTGGATACATCAGTCAAACTGCTCTCCTCTAGTGCTTTTAAACCCTTCTAAGTTCAGTGTCTCACCACCTCAGTAACTGGCTAATATTTATTTAATCACTCCTGTATGCCTCCCTCCAGTGAACAGGAATTAGGAGGCAGTAAACACAGCTTGAGGTAATTACAGACATTAGTCATGGAGTGAGCTCTGTGAGTACACATAGGGGGAGCACAGACGGTCCAGCAGGCTTTCCTTGATGCTCAAATGGCACTGAAGGGTCAGAGAAAAGTGAGTGGGAGCTTTAGATGGAAACGTTGAATCCTGTGGAACCTCGCGTGCGAACCTTTGGCGACTTCAGGCGATTATGATATAAGCCCCTTGCAATGGCGTGCATGCAGAACCCGGCACTTAAACATACTGGAACTGATTGCACAAGCATCTCCGTTCCATCCTTGAATGTCGGAGGTGTATTGAGATAAAAGACTGAATCATGCATGGCAAAGTTGAGAGTAGTATAACTGGAGGAATACAAATCCATTGTTAGCTTGCTAGCCCAAGTGCAGGAAGAGCAATAGAGCCCTACCGCAGCACTGAGAAACTTTCATGAACACATTCGCTGCCAGCTCTTAAATCCCATAGGCGTGACTCGGGGGCAATTGGGTTGCATGTGGATTTACAGTGAGCAGAAGCTTCCGAGGGACAAAGCTGAAACAGTCCAGGCCACCGCTTCAGACTGTCAGGCTCACCCAGTCCTCTGGCAGCAACAGTCTGATGGCAATTAACAGCTGGCATCCCTGGGGTCACAGGTCATCTCACGAGGCAGCTTATTAATGAATGCATGTCTGGGGAAGGCTGACTTAGCTGCTGCACTCCCAAAGCACTAACAAGTCATAAATAAAACATTGCTGTGCCCAGCATGCCCCACTAAAGGTTTATGGCATGCATTCAGTACACAGCCTCCCTGCATCTGGCAGGGCACTTAGTCCTGCAAAATTGATGTTATTGGAAAGGGGTTTCCAGGGGATGGAGAGCCAGTCATGCCAGTCCAGTCCTAAGACAAGCTAGACTGAGCTTATCTAGATCTACAGAAAGAAAATAGCTTTGAAATATTTTTTTCTTGTGACAGGTGTAAATATTTTTATCAAAGTGATGTGAAGTATGGAGCAGCATCGTGGTGCAGACATTAGACTTGGGGTGCCCTCTGCTTGGGTTGTGCATGTTCTACCTGGGTTTCCTCCAGGTGCTCTGATTTCCTCCTACAGTCCAAAGACACACTGGAAGGTTAATTCGCTTCTGAGAAAATTGGCCCTGGTGTGAGTTTGTGTATCTGTGTGCCCTGAGATGGACTAGTGTCCTGTCCAGTACCCTGCCTTGTGCCCCTTGCTAGCCAGGATAGGCTCCTCCTCGATGCTGAATTGAAAGAAGTGATTAGAAGATTGGTGGATGGATTTCCAGTGAGCTGAAGCTTAAAAGGCTGAAATTCTTTGATGCAAAAAACATATTTAAGATCTAATCAATAGGTGTTGCCTTGATAAAAGATCACTGTGGTGAAACCTGCTGATATAACAATCTTGTTTTGTGACACGGAGTACAGGAGTGCAGATACACCTGCAGACCAGTCAGAACAAGGCAACTTAGTGTAAATGGTTCTGACAATCCACTCTACAGGAGCAGAATTACCTTGCAGATTTCTCCAGTAAAAGCTAAGTGGGGTGTGCACTTTGCAGGATTTGCTAAAGATGTGTTCAAAATATATTTTTTTTCAGGCAGCGGAAAGGTCAATTGGCAGCCCCAAGAGCCTCGTTGTACCACTGGCGCACTGGGGGCACGTTCAGGCACGTGGCCTTTGATCGAGCCAACCTTGTTCCTTACGAGCAGGTTGACTGCAGCCTGCGAGGCTCACAGCTGCCGGCCCACAAGTCTGGGACAGCAGGTGGCAGTGGGAATAGAGAGTAATGCGAGCGTGAGTAATTCACCTTCCCAGGGGAGTCCCCAGCCATCGCTTTAAAAGTGAATAGATGGAGCTGAAAGGAAGAGAGAGAAAATCGCCACCACACATTTAGTTTGAGTGCCTCTTAAAGTGCACTGACAAGACGGGACTAGGAAAGCCTGACGTTCTTTTTCACTGACGTAACTGCCATCAAAATGAAGCAACTTATTCTAAAACATCGCTCGTGTTTTATCCCCGGTGCTTCCCTCACTGGGGGTTGCTGTTCAACGCGTGTTCGCAGGTGTCACAAGCGCAGCTCTGCTCTGCCTCTGCCAGGACTCAGTCGCTGTTGCTAGCAGGCTCTCAGCACAGCGCCGCCCCATAGACAGCGGCGATCTCCGTTTCACTAAACGCCCAGGTCTACCACTGCAGAGTCCTACACTGTCTACATTTAAGCGTGTTGACATCACTCCTCCAGTCGTGACCTGCTCAAGTGCCCTCAGCCCTGTTCGCAAGGTGGTTCTAATTTACTTTGTGGTATCTCAGGTGAAGCACTTTACTCCTCACTGGACAAAACACAACTAGGCCACAGGTTGATGACATCAGACCAGATCACACTGACTCTCTCTACAGCACATTTCACTGCTCCTGATCAGCACAGCCTGATCAATGATCTAAGAACTGTGATTAAAGCAGACCTGTGGCATTTTTACATGCTGGCTTTCTTTCATACTTCTGAGTAAATTCCCTTGACTTTCTCTTGAGATATGAGAAAAAGTGAATGAGGAAAATTAAAATGCCATGAACCAGCCCCCAGCAGTGGAATAAGGAGTAATTACTAATCATGTATTTCTAGTCTCCAGCATCTTTATATCTTGTTTATAGATGGTTTAATAGCAAGTGGTTATGCTCTTGCTTTAACATAAGTAGTCTTTGGCAATATAACATTTTCAGTCTGGTGAGAGAAAAAAAACACATAATTCCTTCATCGGCAGGGAAGTTCAATATATTTCTTTTCCAGCAGGCTGAAAAGGATACAGTGTTTATTTAATTTTTCTGTGCTCCAGGGCTACCACTGTTACCACTGATGTGCTAAATTGATATAATGCCACCTTACAAATGCGGAACTAGTGTCTGTCTTAATTGGGTGCATCAGTCACAGCTCTGTCATAATTAAGAGTGTAAATCTCCCACCTTCCTTGGAGGCCTGTTTTTCTCTCCACTGTAACCTGTATCTGTTAGCGGGAGACCACAAAATGGAAAGATGCTTCGGATTTTTTTAATCACCCTTGTAATTATTCTTAATTTATCCTCTTAATCGCCAAACTCAAGGCTCTTACTGTACTCAGACGCTTCCTTGTGCACCATTATGTTCTTCTCTGCATCCTTTTTCTGTTTGTGTTACTGATGTTTTTATACTTCCTTAAAACACTGGAAATTCTATCAGTTCCCCCACTGTTCACTGCCTTTCTGTCACTTGTAGGTAAAATGAATTTTGTTAACTGCCAACAGACCTGATGTTTTTTTTGGTTTATTTCAGAATTTCTTTCTTGTATGGTTGAATTACCAGACCTTGTAACCCATTAAGTGGTTCGTGCTTTATTTTAATACCACTTAATACCACCAGACCACTAACATTACAGAATGCAAAATGATGAAAACTGGCACTTACTGATACAGTATAAATAGACAGTTCCATTAACACAGAGCAATGTACCAAGTGTTTGTACAGTAAATGGTCATTTACCATGACTTAGGCCTAAGATCTTAATGATGATGTTGTAGTTCCCAAATGCCATTTAATGTTTTCAACAAGACTGTTTTTATGGAAGCTGACTGAATAGCATAGTCTGTCTCATTGACCTACAAATAAGTATGAAATGCTGTGTTTAATATTCCATTTAATGTAGACTAATAGATTTTTTTGCCATCAGGGTTGGATAGATACTTGTCGGATTTGATCAGGGTGTCTTTCTCTTGAATGATGGTTCTCTTTCTCTTGTGCCCCTGCCTGTTCCTCAGGACACCGAGATCATCAACACAGCCGTGCTGACCGGGCGGACAGTGGCCATTCCAGTGAAGGTCTTCTCTATAGAAATGAACGGGGTGGTCACGGATATATCCGCACTCATCCAGTGCAAGTCCACAAACGAGGACATTGTCAAGGTACCTGGCCATATTGCCTTAAATGACAGATTCTCCCACATCTGCTGTAGCTTGTTATATATTCTGATGTTGTAAACCCACCTATTTCACTGAAGACATCGCCCCAGCATTTTGAAGGATACCTGTACAGTATCTTTTCAAATTGTTCTGAAATTATTGTCAACCTTCTAAAACTTTCATAGTTAACTTCCTTCATGTTTATTCATCCTGTTTTTTATTCAGAATCAGGTTGCTTAAGCCTACCTAAAATCTTAATAGAGACAGCTAGGGAGTAGAAATTGTATTTACACAGGTTTGTTTATGAAGAATTGGCTAACTCAGACCCCTTGAGATATTTAGTCATTTTTTGGAGCCTGAAAATAGTTGTTTACCCAGGCATTCTGTTAAGATTAAAATTGCATATTACTTTATTTCAATCTACACAGAAGATGCTATAGGTCTGTATTAGATTGTATATGGGACAGTGGACAGCTACTCTGAACTCTGTGTTTCCATGGTCTTAACCACATTTCAGAGATAGAGGCCTAAAATAATTTGTTTTTAAGAATGAATAAATCCTTTGGGATCCGATGAATGCTATCCCTTTAGTACTTAAACTAAAGCTAGTACAGTATATGAAAGATACTGTAGAATCCTATAGGATATATTTTAAATATTTATTCTTGTTCTCCCTGAAGGAGCAGTGCATCACAATACAATATTTACTTCCAGCGGCAGAGACAGCTAACCCAGTTTGTAAGCCTATAAGGCATTAAATTTTTCATATTGCACTTGAAAACCCAATAAATACAAGGAAATGGATTCTCTAGGATGTTGCCTGTTGTCAAAGCATACTTTATGACATCACACAGACATCTGACAAGCCTGGTGCATTACTGTGATAGGGGATGAGGCTCACCTGAGGCGACGTGTTTGAGGTAATTGTTTCTCAGCTATTCCATAATGGGTTTGAACTGCAGTAACAACAACCAGAAAAATAAAAGATCAAAACCCCTCACAGCCTGAGTACAGGCTAACTCTTTATTCAGCTTGCAAGGATGGACGCCCATAGTGACCTCAAGACTTTTATTCCCACTTTGGAAACTGTACATGCTTGGAGAGCCAGGCAGCCTAACAACTTTGCACTAGTTGTTCATTGGGACAAAAAAGGATTTAGATTTGTCACATAAACTGGGGACTGTGTCAGTCTAGGATGGCAGCCTGATTTGTGAATTTCATCCTGTAATGAAATGCTGCACCAGTTCAATTGAAATTTGGCAGATATCATCTTCAAACAAAGCTTTTTCATTCTTGCAGCTGAAAAACACAGAAGGTCATCATGTTCACATCATTGTAATAACTCAGATGGGTCCTGTACAAAAAGCTTTGGTGTTAGCTGATTAGCCGGTATTATTCTAATGACAGTACAATGACAGCTTTTTACATGTGGCCTAATTGTCACCTGAGTGTCCTTTTAATTTTCTATTAATACGCAGTCAGTTACTGTTTCTAATTAAATGTTTTTACTGACAGATATTTTTACTGTAGCATCATGTGACACGTGACAGGATGTACTGTACATTTAACCCCTTCACATTTCTTTTCTATCCTACGTACAAAAGATTACAGGAATATATTTTTTTAAAAGAGCAAAAGCATATTTCAATGATGGCAGTTACTTATTGTACAAAATGGCCCGTTTTTTTCTTTGGCATTGTACACAGTCCTATTTAAAAAGGCCTCTTGCTTTCCATTGATATTGGCATTATGAACGTTTGCCCTATCTCATCAGATTTTAATACACCAAGCAAGGGTGTGCCTGGTCAGTACTGAGATGGGAGACCAGGCATATTAAATTGGAAATATTCTGTGCGTTGGTCTGCTTGGTCATTAAAAATCTCACTGTTGTTAAGAGCAGGGGTGTTAATCCTGGTGTCCTGGCCTAATTTCATCTGGATTAACTCACACTTTCTCCCATTATTCAATTAAATTCTAATTTCTCTTCCTGATCTGCTGTGTAGTGTTGCTGACACATCATCTGGTTTGGTACAGCGCTAATGGATCCCCTCCTTTATGTGAAACACTTTATGATGAAAAGTTATAATACAGTACATCCAGTATAATTAACTAAATCTTACTGTTTGATTGAGCAGCTTTGCACGAGTTCAGAATTCAGCCCTGAAATGGCCTGCTTACTGTAGTTAACCTATCAGGGAAATTGATGGGTCAGTGCTTGGAAACAAAACTAACAAGAAAACTCCTTCCTCTCCTGCAACATACAGTACAGAAAGCAGTGTCAGAGGAGCGATTTCAATTATCGCATAAGTTGTATTCTGCTCCCTAAAGTCTACATTATAAAAGTGACTTCTGCTTATCATATTTTCCTTGACGCAAAGCGACCTACTTTGATAACACTATGATTTACCATTACAAACTCTTTAAAAGTGTCCTTTTGGAGACCGTAGGAAGGGGAAGTGTTTCCCCGAGTTGAAGGATTAAAAGGATGTATCCAAAAGCCTAGAATTCACAGCAGTACAAAAGAGTGAAAATATTTGCTTCCACTCCAGCTGCGAATTAGTTCAGCACATAGGCTGTATTTAAACTAGCTCCTGCTGTAAGTGCAGAAGCATTAGTGAGGAACTATTGATTGAGTTTGTTCAGTGGCACCAGTTATTGAACCCTGAGAGCTGATGCTGAATGAGTCCATTGAGCACCGATGTACATGAGCACTGACGGCTCAATAAAATTCTCTTGAGAATAAAAAAGTGACATTTGGCTTATGATTTTAAAACATCAACCCAATATATAAACCATGATTGAGAGTTTCATAAGGGTTTTTTTTTCACTTGTTGCTTTCTATCTTTTTTGGGATTTATGTAGTATCCTAATTGAGACTGAAAGGTATGCTCTGTATTCTTTTTAGTTGATGTATCAATATCTTCCGTTATGTGCATGTACTGTAAGTACATCCATGCATACAGATCCATACATACATAGGAACATTCCCGCTGTAAGACAGTCATTTGTCCAGTTTAGCTTAGTGAATACTTTATGTAAACACTGGAGAGAGGGTGTATGTTTATGTTTAAGGATTCATTCACCACGTTGTCAGTTGTGCAGTTTAGGGATCCTAACTCTTGTAGTATTCACTAGGGGGAAATGGATTATACACAATAGATATAGGAAACCCTTAACATAGGACTCTGATCTCAGTAATGATATCGGAGTGAAGCTTATTAATCATCAGTCCCCTGTGCTTTTACTCAGGCTTTGGGAAACTGATGAACAAATACAGTATTAAATCAGACCTATATTTCTTTCTACATTTGTTTACTTCACAAAATGGTACTAAAATGAGACAGATAAAAATCTTGATTTACTTTAACTTGACCATCTTCAGGGTTTTCTTAATGGGATGTAAAATTGCTTGTGGAATTGGCAAAACACCCCGTTACCATATTTTGTGTCAGTGCTTTGTCTTAGTTATCTAAGGTTCTAAGAAAAAGGAAATATAAAAGCCTTTAAACATGAAAGGTCCACGATCAATCCTGGAGCACATTTGGAGGTAGTCTTCTGTAGCAAAACAGTGCAGTGCAGCGGTTATTGGACTGCACATCTGGGATTGTGGTCAGACAGGGACAGAGAGGGGAGAATATTTACTGGCCGTCCCTGCGGGAGTTTGCCAATGTGAAAATGGGAAGATGGCTATCCCACCTGAGTCTGTGATTCCTCTTCTGAAGAGCAGCCTGAGTCAATTCAACTTTCTGAGCACAGTGGTTTGAGAAGAGGCTACTGCCACGTTGAGATCTTCAAGATCAATTACTTTCATTTCCATTCCAAAATGGAATTTTCAGGATAATTCCTGATGTCACTGGTAAGGAGAAGCTGAAATTCTGAAGACGACCATCCACCCAGCTAATGCACCTCATCACCACAATTAAAAAGGAGTCGGCATCAGTAGGCCTCAGCAGATGTCTTTAAGTTAAGTGTTTTAGTAAGTCAGAGATGTAATTCGGACCAAAACTATATACCACTGTGGAAAGTCAGTGGGAAGACATAGCCCTGAAGGCAGAAAACTGATGAGAAGCAGACTTAGTCTTAAGTAATCAAAATAAAAACGTACAATATTCAGATATAGCCTTAGGTTGAATAGACCACACCTTCTCACTTAAACAGAGTATATTTAGGGGGGCCTAATTCCTGTAAGGAGGCCATCCTATTTCTATACTATATATGTTCCACCCAGGCAATCTACTGACACAGTGAAGATGCCAGTACGCATTAGAGGCTTGCCTACAGAGCTCCCACAGAAGGCATGCTAAGCTGCATCCATTACCTCCTCCTAGGCATTGAGTTCAGTCTTTAACAGCTTTTGACTCACAATTAGCCATCTGAATTTATTACCAGCTGTGAGAGCCAGGATAGGCTTAATATGGATACTACAGTCAAAAGCCCACAAGGCCTGTCAGAAAGAAGGAGGAAAGCTGGCCTAGCAGTAGTGCATGTTAAATGTCTACACAGTGAGTCTGTTAATTTGGGGTTTGGCAATGAAACAACTAGATTATCTTTTGCTGCTGGTGAGGTAACCCTGTGGGTTCTTTGCAGTAGGCCAGCAAGATTTGGCCAAAATATCCTATCCATTCATTGTCTGACTATCCAATGCAGGGTCATAGACGTCACTGGAATCACAAGGCAGATTACACCTCGGATGGAATGCCAGTCCATTGCAGGGCAGACAGACACAAAAACAGACACGCCGAAACCTACATGTACTGAACAAGGGGAGAACGTACAAAATCTAAGTGGATAGCACCCCAGGAATTAAATCCCAGCAATGGTGACCCAGGGAGAGGCAGCAATGCAAATCACTGCACCACAGTGCTGCCCTCTATCTCCTATTATTATGGTCATATACTGTAGCATATCTACTGGGGACAAGACTGAATCAGCTTTGTGAACTACAGCACATGTATTCTGGGTTCCTCAGCAATTCCAGCCCTTAAGGAGAATCCTGCAGATCGAACCCCTCAGCCTACAGGAGAGGCAGCTTGTTTAGTAATATCAGCAGTTTTCAGATAAATCATCGATATTATCCCTCACCAAACCTGCTACCTATTACTCTAAATAATTTAGTGAAAAGAACAGAGTATGAGAATTTGTTTCCAGACTGACTTGTATATATGTGTCCTTGCTAAATTAAACAGGCTGGACTTACAACTTACCTCAAAGCTCCAGGTTATATATTTTAAATAAAAAATAAGAATATTACTATTCTGCAAAAATCTAATATGCATTCTAATCTTCAATGACTCATGTGAAGAGAATAATGGAGTAACAGGGTCCGGTCAGCTGTCGCCAGTAGTTGGCTTCATGCACAGGTGTTGTCAGATGTCCAAGATTCCTGTTTCAGGCTCTGAGAGCTGTTTGCCTGCAGCAGAAAAAGCAGAAGGACCATCTCGTAAATTCGGCTTCAGAGATGCAATCAGCTCACACCACCCCTCCCTGTTTTCTGTCCCCGACAGGTGTCCATGAACTGCGACTATGTGTTTGTGAATGGGAAGGAGACTCGAGGGTCCATGAACGCCAGAGTGGTCTTCAGCTATGAGCACCTGAGTGCTCCCCTGGAGCTCACCGTGTGGGTGCCCAAACTGCCCCTCCGGGTGGAGCTCTCCGACACCAGGCTGAGTCTCATCAAGGGCTGGAGAGTACCCATCCTTCCTGACCGCAGGTGAGAAGTTAGTTTTTTTGAGGTGAATAAGATGGTGAAAGGTTATGTCACAAAGTAAGTGCAGTTTATTGGTGGGTAGGTGGCTGGGTACAGAGTCATTTATTTATTCATTATTTCTCTTCATAGTAACCCTGTTTGTGAACACTGGTACAGTATGCCCCTTCGCTCAGGGTTGGTTAGCTTTTACATCATGAAATATTTATCCCTCTTTTTCTCATGGGATTTGTTTTTGTGCCACTAGGTCTGGTTGGGCTTAGCAGATGATGCACTTAAAGCCTACCGCTTCTTACAGTATGGTTTACTGTATAGTATTGTCTATTCATATTACTTTACCGCACTGTAATTTATAAAACTGTTATACAATATTGTGCTTTTCTGAAATACATTAAGTGGGATATACTTAGGCGTTTTCAGTGTAGAAATCATCCACCTCCTTCTTACTGCCATGAATAAATAATACATACTGTATTTCTAATTTAACGATACCTAATTCTAATTTTTACCGTGTTCCAACATATTCCTTTTCATGTAAACACAAAGTAAAGGTAATGGAAATTTCTTTTTTTACTCCAGTAACATGATTTCTTCCCAAGGGCTCTGAAATCACAATTTAATATTACCTCTGCACTGAGCCTGTGAAGTATTAGATTAACCTAATTTAGTCGAAGGAAAATTCTATATGAATCTTTATAGCAATCAGAAGTGTTAAGTGAGTTCCTCGTGAGATTATCACAGTCTTTTGCAAATTTTCAAATATATACATGTTTTTATTTCTAATGCCTTCAAATAGTTCAGCAGAAAGGTGTCTTTTTTAGCAATTTAAACATAAAGCCCTTGTAACTGCATAATTATTAGTAAGCTTTGGCACTACCTAGCAATACAGTTGTATAAAACGCATTCAGGTATAAACTTCATTGAATATTAACACTTGCATGTTACTGGTCCATGGTCTAACATCCATCCATTTTCTACACCACTTCATCAGGTACAGGGTGATGGGGGAGCCGGAGCCTGGGCACAATTCAGGATACACCCTTCAGTTCAGTTCAGTCCACAAGCACTTGTCGATCAAAAATAATTGCTGCACTTATTGACAAACTGGATACAAAAAGCCCAACAATATGAAGACGTACAGACGAGGACAATCATGTAAACACTCACACCAGGGCCAGTTTTCCCAGCCTACTAGAGTACGTCTTGGAACTGGGAGATGAAACCATGGCACCTGGCGGAAACCCATACAAATACAGGGAGAACATACAAAGTCCCCTCAGATAGCATCCCAGGAATTTGACCCAGGTTCCATCACTGTGAGGCAGTGATCAGTACAGCAGATTTCTATAACAGTTTTGGGGTAGTATTACATTCATTTTGCTTTTCCGGTCCTTAAGTGAATTTTCTCTCCATGCTTTCACACAGCCTGACAGCACCAGAGAATTCTTGGACAGCTGTGCATAAGCTAAAGTAGTGTGAAATCCATCCACTAGGGTCCAGAAAACCTCACACTCTTTTATGTTTTTGAGTAGATGGAGAAACACATTACCATTTGTACCCTCTGGTCTCCATTTCACTTATTCTAAAGATGTCCATTAGGTTGACTTTGTCAGCGTCTGAGGATTAGATCCCCTCATTTCTTTCAGTTCCAGATTCAAAAGCAGCTATATTAATTCTGTCACCACACTATTATATGTAAGTTCTTACTAGTACTAGATCTTAATATTCATCTGTAACATCGCCAAATTTAACCTACAGTATATATGTATATATTATTATACTGCATTTGCTTTTTGTCTTGGTTTTAAATAAAAAAATATGATTTATGCTATTTCTCCTGCATGTTCTGCACTTAAAATATAAATGTTAGCGGGCAGAGGTTTGCCTAGTTCCTAATTCTGTCTAAATTGTTTTTATATATATAATTTTAAGCTTATACAGTGTTTCTAATCCATCTATTTTGGTATCATCTGCAAACTTGAGTAATTTACTAACTGTAGCAGATCATTGATATAAATCAGGAAGGGGAGTGATCTGCATACAAATGCCTGTTACTCTGCTTATTACATCCACCGATTGTGAGCTCACAATCTTACCTGTAGTCCTTTTTCTAGTCATTAATCAGTTTTTAATTCAGATGCACTCATTTTGTTGACTGCACACCACCTGCAGTTTGAAAAATGAATCTTTTGTGCGGAACAGGATAAAGAAATTCTAAATATATTTTATCATGTGTTCCGTTTGTCATTTACTGTTGTTGTTCGAAGAACCCTATTGTGTTAGTTACAGTACCTAAGACCTCCTTTTCTAAATTATATTACCATTCAGGATGCCCTCTAGTTTAGATGAGATCTGAGATATATAGTTAAAAAACTAAACTACTTAATGTGGGTGGATATTCATCATTATAATCACTTTTGTTCTAAGAGAGATTAAAATATAACAGATGAGTATTGAAAAAGTATTTGCTGCATTTTCAGTGCATTTCAGTGTATATATATTAGAAATATATTTCGTTTTTACTAACATAAAAAGGCTGAGCAAATACATAATTTCAAAATAATCTGTTTTTTGAATATTATCTTTAGGTGGATTAAAGGGTTACATTTCCAAAATAACTCTTTAATTTATTTCTTTATTATGATGATTTGAAATGCGAAGGTTATCTTTTCCAATCAATACCCATTGAATTCACTGTTCTTTACACAAAATCAATACGCACAATTATATTTTTAAAAAGTTCTCCTATTTTACCCTTAATTAAAAGCACAAGAACATTATAAAGATTAGGAAAAAGAGGAGGCTGTTCAGACCATTTGTCTTGGTAATCCTGGCAGAAGTATATTGATCCAACATGCTTGGAAAGATATTCCTTCGAAAATCCTCTTGAATTAGCAACATGGATGTGGAGTGGATATTCGTTCCACAAACATGCTCCTAGTCAAAATACACCTTCTGTCACCTTATTTGAAACATGTACTGAATAGAAATTAGTTAGCAGAATTTCCAGATGTGATCCTGAAATCTGTCTAGCTGATGGGTGTCTGCCTAAGGTCTATTAGGGACAGAGTGGATTCCAGTATGATGTACTATATAGTGTTGTTATGGTTTTAACTCTCAATTAATTTAATAGTTCTAATTATTGTCTGAAACTGAAATATTTAACATTTTAATACCGGGGTTCCAATCCTGAAATCCAATCCTCACAAAGTCTTATGTTTAACAAAGGTCAATTTTTTTTTTTACGTTAGTCTCTGATGCCAATATTTTGACCTACCAGTTTTCTTGCATATACTTTCAAGTGTTACTCTATTGTACATGCACATCTGATAGACATGTAAGCTGTGTTACTCTTAAGCTTTTATAAACTTAAGAGTCACATCCTTTGAACTGAAGCCAGTTCTCTGAATTAATGGGCGTGATACGCTTTGTCAAGTCACTGACTGACGGCCTTGGTGCTGCATTCACTGCTACCAAGGGAGAAAGCAGCAGATCTATTAATTATCCTTTGCAAGGTAAGGCTGGGATTGTGAAGAAAATTTCCAAGTTGACAATGTGCTCGTTTACATTTGGCAACTCATACATCACACGTCTTAACAAATCATCTCAGTTTGGAATGCTTAAAATGTATTCATCAAATCCTCAGCATGCTTAAGCTTTATATCGGCTTCCAGACAGGATGACGAACAAAAACAAACAAAAAACACACTACAGTAATATTAACTGTGCATAGATTTATTTTAGATAAATTCAGTAGGATGTTGTCATTGTACATTTAACTTAAGTCTCCTCTTCCCTTTCAAAATTACTTTCCACTTGTCCTCAGTTTCTTTTGTGATGCATGTCATGTTTTCTGTTTCTCGCCCAGTTCTTTATGTCCTCAGTTCTGCAGTACACATACTGTAGTTACCCAACTAGCTCTGCTCAAACAAGCAAATTCAAGCTAAAACTAACAATGCATCTGCAAATGTTAAGGATGGAATAATGAAAATAATGGAATAGGGTTGGTAGAAATTTCAATTAGATCGAGTTTTTTATGTTATCCATTTACCTTCTTTTTAAAACTACTAAACATTTGACAGTTTTTTATCAACCTGCTCTAATTAAACTTCCTTAACCAATCCTGGTGATTAGCACCTCTCTTACTCCTGGTGTGTAGCACTCATTTTCTCTGTAATCTGACTGAGGTGGTGAAACAGGGTGACTTATTCTCATTGACCGATTTATGTGCACTAAGTTTTCATTCATCATGTTACAGGGAATTTAACTCTTGTGACACTTGTGATAATGTAAGAATGTTATTGTTAATAATAATGGTGATGTTTCCAGTATCTTAGATATTTGCAGGATGTCCTTACCACAAGACATGTGGTTGGATTTGTTTCTACTGGGTCCTCAGATACTGGACTTTTCCATCCATTGTACAGTTATACTTTTAGTACCAAAGTTGAAATGGTCAATTAATCAAGCAGTTGAAAAGCCTGTAATGCTGAAATCTACCCTGTGGAAAATTATGAAACTTTAACCCGGCATGTCTCCCATGTTCTAAATCTCAGGACTGCCAGGGACAGTGAAGATGAGGATGAGGAAGAGCGCAAGTACAACCGTGGCTGTGCTCTCCAGTACCAGCATGCCCTGGTGCGAGTGCTCACTCAGTTCCACACCACCTCCACAGAGGGCACTGACCAAGTCATCACCATGTTGGGACCGGACTGGCAGGTGGATGTCACAGACCTGGTCCAGGACTCTCTGAAGGTGGCCGACCCACGAGTCGCTGACTTGGTGGACAGGAGCGTGCTGGTAGGCCTGGAGCCTGGAACTACCACCCTGAAGGTCAGTGGCATCAGCCTGACATTCCTCAATACTCTTTCACATATACATGTGATAGGAGCCAATGTTTTCTGCACTTCTTATGCAGAAGATTTGAAAACACTTGGGGTTAACTGGCCATCTGCTGCGTTCACCATGAAAATAGCACTTGGAAAAACAGGCCCCTTGTGTACAAGAAGTGATTGGATGTATTTATTGGTTAAATGCATCTGCACAATTGCAAAAGGAAAATCTTTGTCTATCCATTCTGTGTAAGGTGAAACTATTGCATCGCTTGCCAGACCACTTTTATTGATTACTTATGAGTAAATGCATTACAGCATCTATGAAATATTATCCCTTTAAACACTCCTGGCAAGAAAAACTCTGGACATAGATCTCTATTACCCTTATCTGGGCACTGTCCAAACTCTTGATGTGACGTTAGTATTTATTATTAATGCGTATATTTAACCAATTGATACAGTATATTTAAGATGTATATTTAATGTAGATGCTTAGAAGTAAAGTGACATTTACAGAAGAGATCTCCAAGGAGTGAGCGTGCTTGTGTGTTCATGTGTTTTACCATGTTTTCAGTAACTGTATTAAGAAAATTGCACAGTGGAGACAAAGCATAAGAAAAACTTAGGCCAATCTGGAATTCATTTGTTTGTCCTGTTTCAAAGACTTGTCTTGATTTGTAGTCAGATAGTGTACACTGACCAACAGCGTGAAGGATGTAAATTATCAGTGGAAGTAAATTGAATCTTCACGGCAGTGTGCAAGCGTATACATGCGGAAAAAAAAAGTTTTGTGCTAATTAAAGTGAGGACCAACTAAGATCGTTAATAATTAAAAGCCAGAGTGAGCCCTTATCTCCCTTTCACTGTCCTTTATCCGCACTGCATGCTGGAAAAGAAAATAATTATTAGCTTTGCCGACAAAAGAAATGAGAGCTAGCTGACAAAAGGGAATTTGAGAAGTCAAGATCTCCAAACGGTCAAAACATCATCAGGGTTTCATATTTTTCTTTTCAATTAATCTTTGCCTCAATTTTTACCACCCTAATTTGGCCTTCTGTTGCTCTCTTATTGGTTTTCCTGCATATACTGTAGAAAAACCAAAAAGCAAAAAGCAGTTAGCTGGTTACCTTTTTTAATTGCACTTAATGCTGGAGTAATTATAGTGTTATTATTTGAACAAACAATGGCTTCTTGTACTTTTTTTTAATAAAATATTTGTCCCAACTTCCAGTCGGCCACTGCTGTTATCGGAAACGTGCTTTGTTTGTAGCATAAAAGTAGAGGCTTAGGTATACAGTAGATTAACAAAGAAAAAAGGATTGTTTGTACACAGGGACAGCAATATTCCATAAATGTAAGAAAGGTAAAGTGCTAAAATGATATAAATTCTAATGCAGTCCAGGCATTTTTATTGAAACAGTAATGAAATATAAGAATCATCGTAAGGAATATGATTATATATAATTTTAAATTAGATAACTGGTGACACTGTGGCACAGTTGTTAGTATTGCTGCTTTGCAGTACTGGGGCCCCTGGTTCAATTCCTGGAGTTCTGTCTGCGTGGATTTTGTATTATTTCCCTGTATTCAGCTGGGTTTCCTCCAGGTGCCCCAGTTTCCTCCCATAGTCCAAAGACATACTGGCAGGTTAATTGGCTTTTGTAAAAAACGCACTCCAGTGTGATTGTGTGTGTCCGTGTGCCCTGCGGAGGACTGGTGTCCCATCCAGGGTATCCTGCCTTGTGCCTGTTGGTGGCCAGGTTAGGGTCATGACCCTGTAATGGATAAAGTGCTTTAGAAAATGGACGGATAATTACTGTATTAACAATGAATTCATAATAATGCATAAATACTCAAATTGTTTAATGTTACAAAGGATGCAGTTGCATGTACTATAAAGGGAATTAAAATAGCACAATGACTTGGATTTTTTCCCAGCTGGATTGTAGGATGCAAGTTTGTATCCTGTTTAGATAAGAAAACTACATCGATTTATTCAGATATCATGACCCCAATGCATAACATGAATCCAGGGATTTCATGAAATCCCTAAATGTTTGGGGAAATTCATGAAATCCTCAATGGATTATGTAGGGATTTCATGGATGTGTGTCAAAAACCTACAGACTGTCTGTTTATATCTTTACTTTCATTGAATGATCATTGTATACTTAGAAATTGCTTTTATTTGAAAAAGCAGAGCCATAAACTTGCACAAACCTTTCCCATTGAGGTTTTAAATCCCTTTTCATAAATGGAAACAAATTGTACTCCGTCTTTGTCTTTTTCCCTGCAAATACTCTAGTGGCACTAGTGGACCGTGTTGTTTTCACAGGGATGGTATATTGTGTAGGCCTGATGCCCCATTGAGCAAGAGTCAGTCTGAATCAATATATTTGAGACATACCAAAAGACATTTGTTTAAAGGCTGAGGAGGCCGTACTGATGACGTTTATGCCTGGACCAGTGAGTCTTTATGCTGGTATTTTGGAACTCAATTATTAGATGACTTAAACAGTTAAAACTGTAAGATATGTGTGCATTAATATCAGTATTGTCCCTATGTAATCTTTGAAGGGCTCTTTTATAGAAAGAACAGATATCTTGAGTAATGCCTCACTACACGTCACACTACAAACTAAAGGCTAACTGTTCTTTTTCTTAATACTGACTGTAGAATATGCTACTGCTGCATCTCCTGTGGAATGACTCCTTTCCTGAATAGTGTCACTTAGAATTTCTTCTTTCAGTCTAGCTGTATGCTTGGTGTGCCTGGGGAGAACAGAAAAGAAAACATTGTACTGGACATGTTCCTTTGCTTTAAAAACGCAGCTGATCTTCTCACTGCCCACCAGGCAGGAAGGTGTACAAGCACATCAAGATTTTGCTAGATGCTGCAGTTTTATTTTATTTAGGGGCAGTGCAGAGTAGAACATGGATTGCAGTTCAACCAAAATGAAATAGGCTACCTACTTTACTGTGCATTCATAAATCTCCCAAAATTTACAGAAACAAATAAGGTGTGTCTAAGGCTATAATCCTTGTCCTTTTGATCTCACAGATGGAGGAGAGATAAAAAGCAGTAGTGATATTTTTTTAAAACTCTCTTAAAAAGACACTTCCTGCCTTTATATCATTTTGAAGATAATTCATGACCATAGCACAGGGAAACTGAAAGGCTCCCTACCTGTGGTGCTGTGCTTTTCATGTCTGAAACCGCAATATTAAGCTACTTCAAAGATCTCAGCCTATAATTGGGAGGATTTCTAACTTGAGTTTTTGCCTGCGTTTGTGGTCCCTTTGTAGTGGAGTGAGAAATAATGATAACAGGTTGAAAATTTTTGGATCTGAGCATTTTAAAAGGTTGTTTTTTTAAAAGAAATTGTGATTTAAAAATCACTGTTTTAATTATGGCATTTGTAGACCTCATAATCTCATTATAGCGTGAGCAGGGGTCAACATTTAGGCCAGCTTGCCACTTTAAAACTGATGGTGAGGCCTTTACTTCCTCTGTCACTGACTATAAAAGCCTCACAGATGTGAAAAGAGTCAGTAGGAAGAACTGCAACTGTACCCATAATGCACTATTATTTACGTGTGCTCCCATATGTGTTTTCTGTTCACCAAATGACAGCTCTTGCACAATGACAGTATCAATTAGAATCAATTATTCAACAAGCTGGTTGTTAATTACATGCAGACAAGTAATAATAGCTTTGATTATTATTTATCTCATGTAATGCAATTTCCATATTACTTATTGTCTTTCCAATCTTTTTTATCAGCTGAATTTCTAAAGGTGGCTCTTTAGCCAGATAAGAGATAAGAAATGCAAAACATAATACGTCATTATAGCACACCTATGTGGAGTTTCTTTTTTATTTTGAAATGTCTCTGTAGTAACTCATCTGTTAATTACACAGTTTATCGGAACCAAATGATAACCAGTGAACGTGCTGTAATCAAAATGAACATTCCAAAAAATGAGGTATAGAAAAACAAGTGGGTTCCTTTCCTTTTAGTAGAATACACCCTTTGCTCCCTTGAATTACTTGAGGAAGTTTTAAAACTGTTGGAAATTATGGAATTAGCTGTTATTTTGAGTGCTATCTCAAAATGTCCACCCATGTAGTCTCGCACCCAGGACTGGTTGTTGTGAAGAGAGGTTTAAAGCAAGTAGGTCAGAAGAGGTACTCAAGAATAAACCAGTCAGATCTCTCCTGTCTGAGGATGCTGAGAGTCTCCTGCAAAATTAAATTCCCTTTCAATCTGTAACCCATTAAGCTGACAGTTCCTTTTTGGATTCATCTGTTGGACTAAATTCTCTTTCCCTGTTGGGAACTTTACCTTCTCCAGGCACTGAGTGAAATTCTCAGATTGCTGATAAACAAAGATTCAGTTGGCCCAGTCCAGCATCAGTGGCCAGCATGTGCAGTTCACTCAACACACTGCATTAGCCATCAAGCCATTACTACTAATAACCACATTATGTGATGCTTTTATCCAAAATGACTTTAATTTGCGCCCATTTATACAGCTGAATATTTTTGGGGTGCAGATTCAGGTGACATACCATACTTTCCTCAAGGATTTCAACCTGCAACTTTCCAGTTCCAAATCCAGAGCCCACAGCTCCACACTGCTGCCCATCATGTAACTTTATGATGTCGATCAGCTACCACCCTTAAGTATTTAATTGGTCCTACCGTGCACTGTCACTGCAGATAATGAAGCCTCCCTTGGAGTCTGCCCTTGCACTTGATCGGAATGAGAGTGTCGAAGTCTGCAAACCTCTGTTCTGGGTTGCCATTTCATTTCCTCTTCTCTTCCCGCGTTTTCAGGTGGAATCCCCGCTGGCTGTGGAAGCCGTTCTCGGGGAGGCCTCCTTCTCAGTGACGGAAGACAAGGAGTCCATCACAGGCCTGCAAATCCATGCCATTGCAGGCCTCTCCCTCACCCTGCAGCCCAGCCCCGGGAACAGCCACACCATGGTTGCCAAGGTGACCGGAGTACAGACTCTGACTGCTCCCAAACAGGTACTCACCACAAACTGTCACGTCTGGCCAGCGTGATTAGCCTTCCTCCCCATCTTGTCTTCTTATCAATGGGGGGGAGAGAATGCAGATTCAGAGAACAATGTTAACATTTTAGATGGGGTTTTATGTTTCCAGTTTTTCTTAGACTAATTAATTAAGGTCTTCTTGGGGAAAAAAAACAAAAGCAAAACAAAAATGTGCAAAAAATAATAATAGTTTAAAGCCAATACTGGCAATCACCATGGTAATGGCAATAGCTGACATAATGCACTTCTCTACCACCAGGTTACTTTTAAAAAGCTCCTGGAAAGATTAAATGTCAATTATGACACTTGTTCAGCCTCATAAATGGGACCTACCACAGGTGTAAGAGCTGGAGTCCATGATATAATTACATGATTTTCAGGAGGATAATGAACCCAGTAACACTTCTCATTTTATTTTGTATAAGGTACGCTTGCAATTAGTTGGAGGGGTAAAGTAAGGAAACATTGTGGTAAGCAGTCCTGGGTTTGATTCTGGGCTTGGACCCCACTCTGGGTGGAGTTTTCTTGCGTGGGTTTTTCTTCGGGTACTCTGGCTTGCGCTCACCTACGAAAAATGTGCAGAGCAGGCTACTATTTTAACTCATCCACGTCAAGGGTTAGACCCATGACAAGGCCACCTGGACACCCTGTCACCATGCACAGGGGTGTGCGAAATTCAATAAATGACAAACCGCGGACGTCTGATCAGTTTTCACACTGCCGTACAGTATTTACCAGTTTTGGGGCGGATTTCCCTGCTTTGCAGAATGAAGTGTGTGAAGGCATCGCAAAAGACAAGCCCGCAGTTTCCTCAGCCTATGCATTAAAATCCAATTTTGCTCGCCTTCAGCCACTCGGCCACCTTTAAATTTAATTACCGTAATGTATTGTTCTAAGTGCTCTCCGAGGCTGGGCTATAAAAGTAACCGTTTCCCACAGCGGGCTCTATCCTCTGAGGAGTACTCAAACAATTTAAAACAATTATTTCCTATTACTTTGCAAAAGGCTGCTCCAGAGCAGTTTGTTTTCCTCATTCCTTTTTTTCTCGCATGATGCTGGCAGTAATGGTCTATTTTTTCCCCTCAGTTTATTCAATCACTTATTTGATTCCTTTGGTATACAAATGAAAGCCGACAAGAATGATGTGTTAAATTTCAAGATCAGCCTCCTCTCAGTTGCAACCTTTCTAATGTTATTATGGTATCATGGTTTGTTAGCCAGTCTAACCTACTGTTTCTGTTTCACATATTTATCATTTAACCTCCATGCAACTTCATTGGAAAAGCAGCCCTCATAAAGTTACTGTAAGTTATATATTTATGTATGGTGCACGTGTGCATATAATTTGTTTGAAAAAAAGTAAGAGTCAATTCCTAGGTGTTTGTAGCTAGCCAGACCTCTGAAGACCAATCTCAAGATCTCAGCTGAGGACCAATCACTGAGCATGGAGCTGCAGCAATAGGATAATGGAATATAACAGGTCACGGCTGGAAAACCCATTTTAACAAAATAAATGTTACTTTTTATAAAATCCTCACGTGCCATCCTCTGCATACCATAATATGTTCTTTCTTGATGACAGTTATTAATTTTTGCAAAAACAAAAATTCCCTTTCTCTTTTAAAGGAAATGTGTCATACAGGGTGGTCTGATAAATGGGAGCCTTCTGTGTTTATTGTTCAAATTCTTTAGAATTTTGACGTTAACCATTTTTGGGATCTGGGTACAATATCTGTCAAAATCTCTTGAGTTACCCTACAAGAACAAGTGAAAGACCTCTCAGGTTACAGACACAGGACACAGTTATTGTACTCTGGATCACACTGATTAAACTATACTTTGTGTGTCTCTTGTATTTCCAGGAAGCAAGCCTGTCCATCTGGGTTTACTACAGTGATGGCACAGCAGTTCCACTGAGCCTATTTGACCCCAGAGACTACAATCTGAATGGCACCTCTCTGGATGACAAAGTAGTGACAGTATCCCAGGATCCACAGCTGCGCTGGCCTGTTGTGGTGGCCGAGGGAGAGGGCTCTGGCGAGATCATCCGGGTGGAGATGACCATCTGTGAAGCCTGCCAAAAAACCAAGCGCAAAAGTGTGATCTCATCCGCTTCGGTCTACGTCAAGGTCCGCTTGGGGGCTGAGGAGGACTCAGACGAAGATGGAGAAGATTACATAGGCACTCGGGTGGGTCAGGGGCCAGGTCGCATGGAGCCTGAGGAAACTCTTACTACCAGAAGACCAAGTGATGATTCAAATGTGGGCGGGAGCAGCTACGAGGTCACTAATGTGCAGCCAGCCAGTGTCCCTATCGATTACACCAACTTCCCCACCAGCAACCAGGAAGGGCCGACTGAGGGAGATGAGGATGAGGGGGGCTTTGTGCATGCCCCCCGCAGCCTGACAGACTTGGAAATTGGCATGTATGCCCTCCTGGGGGTCTTCTGCCTGGCCATCTTGGTCTTCCTCATCAACTGCATTGTATTTGTCCTAAAGTACCGCCACAAGCGCATCCCTCCCGAGGGCCAGGCCAACATGGACCACTCCCACCACTGGGTGTTCTTGGGGAACGGGCAGCCCCTGCGGGCCCAGAACGATCTGTCACCACAACAAGTTGAGAGCCCCAGTAACCCGCTCGAAGGGGTACAAACGTGCTGCCACGGGGACCACCATAGTAGTGGAAGCTCCCAGACCAGCGTGCAAAGCCAGGTCCATGGCAGGGGGGATGGAAGTTCAGGGGGTTCCACCAAGGAGCACAGTGAGGAGCCCCTCAATTCCCCCACCTCCAAGCGCAAGAGGGTCAAGTTCACCACCTTCACCACCCTGCCCACTGAGGACATGCCCTACAACTCCATTCCCATTGCAGATGAGGAGGACATCCAATGGGTATGCCAGGACATGGGCTTTCAAGATCCAGAAGAACTGCATGACTACATGCGCAGGATAAAGGAAATACCCTAGGGATCATTGGCTGTGCCGCATTCTTAGAACTTCTCTCTTTCTTTCTTCTCACTTTAGTGGAGATATCTTTTCACAGATGAACAGCAAAAACAGGTCGTGATTCTCTTTTTTAATTTCCTTTGCACAGTGCTCCCTCCTGTACACCAACACTCTTTTCGATGGCCGCGAAAACACAAAGCCAAAGAGAAAATGAAATAAACCCTAGTGAAACGGGCTTGTGGCGGCTTTCCTTCGTGACGGAGGGGAGAGATGTAAAAAAACACAACGGTGAGCACTGTTCTTGAGATGAATGGATCATAACAGGCTGTACCACATCTGTGCCAATCTGGGTGCAGTTGCTTCAGCTTGAATAAAGGCAGGACTGTTGTCATGGGGTAGGGGGGTTGCTCCTGTGTTTGATAGCTTATCATAAGTACAAGTACCTTCTGTAATAAAGAGGCCTTTGATGTGCAGGTCAGAAATCCAGAGAATGTTGGGAAGGATGGTTTATACTTAACTGGAGCTAGGTGAATTTCATTCTTTGTCAGAACTTTCAAAAGAATGTTTTGGGATCTATCCATACCAACGGATGCAAACTGAATTACTGATTGTTCAATATCCCTTTTCAGATTTCCACTCATCTTTACATTTTTACCCTATTTCTCAACCTTGCCTCTTTTTTCACTCTTAGCCAAGGTAATCTAAAACCTCAGAGCAGGCCTGATTAACATTCATCGTGGCACGACTCTCTTGGCAGAAGCTATAATATAAAATTGCCTTACAGAATTAACCCTGCTGGTTAATCCTGACACAATTCTGTCTTTCCATATGGGTTCGAGACACCAAAGGAGGCCATACCTACCAATGGAATGCCACTGTTGGCCATTTTCTATTGAGCTGGTGGAAGGAATCCATTGGTTTCTTGTAAAGAAAAGAAGTGAGACACCATCTGTGAATGGGACGCATCTTTTCTAAAATTCTGTGCATGGAAGGAGAGCTCTGAGGCATAATTCAGCAAGTTTCCAAGTTTGTAAATGTTTGTATTGTAATAATTATCTAATCATGCATAGACAATACATAAAGGAAGTATGTTATCATGCATTGCAAGCATGCAGCTTCAGACCTGCCTTCCAGCCACCTTATATGTGTATACTAAAAGACCCTCTTCCTCCACTCTGAAGAGAGATAGTGTAGTGCTATGTGGAGAAACCTGCCAAGGTTTCACATACCCATTGCTGTGACTGGAGGTTTTCCTCTGCAGAGTTTCGCTACTAATAAACTTTCTGCTTGAAAGCCATTTTCATCCTGCCATTAATGAACTCATGGCATTTCAGACCAAGAGTACTTCAGATACACAATAAAGATCCCTTGCAGTCCAAAATCAGCTGCAGACTCCCAAGTTATCCTTTAAATATGCAGTGTAAATGTCCCATGTTCAGAATGGACTTAACCATAACAATGCTAATTAGTGGATAAAAACATACACACAACAGTAATATTTTTTTAAAGTGCAATGAGGGCCATGTCAGTCTCCGTTTAAGAATAATAGAAAACAATTTCCATTCTGGGACAAGAAAAACATTGGATATGCCGTTACATTGCCAGGGCGTCTACCCAGTGAAAGTCAATGTTGCATTAGCTGGGGCCTCCAGCCGAGTTGATTTCTTGGACTGAAGCTGGTCTTGTATCTATGGGAATCAACCGGAGGCACAGAGGCTCTGCTCAGCTCCAGTGTCCGTCTGTGGTGCACGTTGGTGCCAAGAGAGTGGCAATACCAAGAAATTGTTGACAGGGGTCTGGATGGCAGGCTTGTGGCTGAACGTTGGCGTGTTCAATACTTAGACATTGTTAGTTACGTTCGGGGGTTATGCACACATGAGGAAAAACAACAAAGACGTGTTGTGGCCGTTGCAGATTGAATGGAAAGTTGGGGGTGTTAAATATTAGGGTGGGAGGGGGATTGCTTCTTCGTTGGCCCCAGGTTTTTATTTTTTAAAAGTAGACTAGGTTCTTCACAATAAAAGAAAAAAAACAGCTTTAGCGAAAACAAATCTTGGAAGAAAATCTAGGAATTGAGCAGTATGGAAATACTGTCTGTGGCTGGTGGCTTTTTTCCCCACATGTCATTGGACCCACCTAACTTAAAATGTACCTAAAATACAATGAAATGATGGTTTACAATAATAAAATGTGATTCTGTACTTTGTTTTTAGGACAGGGGTTTTGGATAGGAGTTAATAGGGGTCTGCTCAAGAGATTCCAGGGCCTAGAAAGTGTCAGTTAAGTTCCTAGAAGCAGCCAGCTTACCAAACATTAACAACCTGTGGTCAGTATATGCCAGAACTGCAAACCATTAGACAGAGCAATTACCATACGTATCCTAAGCCAGTTGGATATTTTATTAATGGTTATTTTTGTACATATATAATGCAACATTTCCAATTAAGACAAAAATAGTCTAGGAGAAAGGCTCTTTTCATTTAATGGTAAAATATGTCTTTCATTAGTCTTTTATTTATTTTTTTTTACTTCTTTTAAGTTATTCCTGTCATTGTGTTATTTTATCAGTACTTTTTAAATATGTATAAGACTTGAGCTTTTCTGGCAGAGATTGCCCACAATGCACATTTCCGGAATGATGTGAGCTGCTGTAGGAAACTTTACTCGACACGTTTATCTTGCTGAGTCTCTGGTGAGACCAGCAGGGATTTTACATCGTCAACAACTTAGATATGTCATGTACAGAACACTGTCAATCTCCCTGTATTCTCCCGACAACTCCTTGTATTTTTCCCTGCTGTATGTAAGTACTAAAGAAAATACAAAGCATCACCTGTCTTCTGGTTTTCCTTTTCGCTTCTTCCAATCTCAGATCAGGTAGCTTCAAGGCTCTACCCACATGAGCCTAATGGCGTGTACTGAAACCCATTTCTGTCATGGGGCATATCTGATGCGTGCTCCTACCAGAAAGTGGAAATAAAGAAATTTGGGACGAAGGCTTTCAGTATCTGATATGCATAACGGTGGAGATACAAGATCCCAATACTGATATCTGAAACTGCATCTGTTGTGGGTTGGGTAGATGGATGGGGTATAATCAGGATTCATTTGGTTTAAAAGTTCCTTTTACAATCCAATTAAGAGTGACAAGTTCAAACAAGGCTATCCTGTCGCATGGTTAGGCAGAGTTTTATCGAGTATCTTTAGATCATTGCATTACACTAAAGTGCTTACATCTGCCCTGCTTTTCTTACTTAGTTTTAGGTGTAAGACAGCAAGGCAGTGTGGAGTGATGGCTAGGGGTCTGGACTCATGCCTGGATGGTTATGGGTTCAACTCCCAGCTGAGGCACTGCAAGACAGGTAGGTATTGGTGCAAGATAGCTCACCATGGCCGCTTCAGTAAAACTACCTGCAGCGTGCTAGTGTGGGTGCAAATGCAAGCTTTAGGTAAAAGCTTTGGCTAGATGATAAAATTGCTCACAAGGTTGTTTAGAAGAGTGTGCCAGTGGGTGCCTTCTACAACAAAACAAGTTATTGCAAAATAAAATAGCACACTACCAATGCAAATGTTCTACACCGTACCAGGGAAAAGCTGTTTTAAGGAGATTTAGGGTTCATTTCAGTTTCAATGAGATTAAAATTAAAAATAAAATGAAATTAATCTAATCTATGTTTATCCTGTTCATTTACTTCAGAGTCGTGGTACATGGTGAGGTACATAACTGGAAAATGATTGCTGTTTTACGGTATCTTAAAACAGCTGGTTCCTTCTGAAAACTTTTTTTTTTTGCCGTATATTGTTTTCCTGTGTATCCCCTAATTTGGGATGATGAATATCTTCTTTTGCTTTTTCAAGTAAACAGACCTCTCAAAGTACTGTATATCTTGGGGCAGGAAAGCCAATTACTGCTTTGTGACCACCAGATCAATTTCACTTGTGTAATATCGGTGTCCTAAACTCCGATAAACTCCCAAAATATTCTGCCATGATAATAAGAGTTCCTGTCTTACATCTTTGTGCAGTTTTAGCAAAGCTTTTAATTTTAACTGGAATAGGTTTTGTAGATAGGTAAGTGAATAACAAACCAGAAACTGAACTAGACAGTCACATACACATTTAATCTTTATGAGTAGTTTATTCTTTCCAGGCTCTTTGAGATGCAAGTGATAGAATGTGCTCTACATGTAAATTACGGCTTTTGTTTACTGTATGGTCTCTCCAAGGGTGCACTGTCGCAGACAGCAGAGCTGCTGTGCATCTCGGTACAGTGCTGTTACATTTCAGCTTTTGTCACAAACTGTTCTGACACTTGGCAGTGGCAGCATGCTTGGGATTTGTAACTACACCAAACTGAGCATTCAAGGTACAGGAAGGAATCCTGTCCCATCTTTGCCTTTCTAACTTTTCCCTGACAGTGGTGTCTCTCCGCAAGATCAAACATGCAATTTTTATTGTCTTCTCCACATTACAGATCTCTGTGAAAGATGTGATATTGTGGCAGAATATAGAAGCAATGGGAAACAGAAAATAGTGGGGAAAAAAACTACTTGGATAGATTATATAAAGTTGTTAATTTTTCAATCCAAGTAATGCTCTGGCATAATTTGAAACACTGCTGTTTTTATCAATTAAAAATATGTGACCTGAGCAAATGCTGAAATGGATTTATATGTGAGACTGCACTATTCTATGCGCAGCAATGCCAAATTATTATATCATGCATTGTGTAGACAAGATCGAGAGTCACAATGTGTCAGATAGGAGCACAACCCTGGCACAGAATCTAACCAAGACATAGATACAAGGTGCAGGGCTTGAGGATTAGAATGCAAAATAGGTTTTCTAGGTAGCTTTAAACCATCAACAGGAATTGAATCCAGGGCCTCAATGTTGTGAGACAGCTAACCACTGAATTCAATAGGTATTGGTTGAGGACAGTCTGCACAGACTCAATGGGATTTATGGTAAGTAATTAGGCAGGTGGTCACAAGCGACCTGTGGTGAATGCTGACAAGGCATTCAAGCAAGGTATGCAATAACCCACTAATTGATAAGATTTGTCTGTGCTTGCTTAATTTTCAGTCTATGTGGAGTTTTCAGTTCTGCTCTATTGCCTGGTGAATTATCATATTTTTAATAATTAGCAAGCTGATTTGCTGCATGTCTTTCTCAAATTGTATGTGCTAACTTTGTGTTAACTGTGCATATATGATATAAATATAATGCAGATTACTTTCATACAGTTGAGCCATGATGCCATCAGATGAGCACTATCGTAATCAGCTATCGTAAAATAAGTAGAGACAAGTATGTGCATTTCTAAATCCATTGCATCTAAATGTGGTATTGGATTTATGCTTACTTTAGTGTAAGCAATTAGCTTGATCTCCAACAGCAAAACAGCAATGTTCATCAGCATTTAACCCACTTAAAATTCACTGAGCAAATTTATATTTCAGATGCAATATTCAGATTGCATCTGACAACACCAGTGATTCAGTGATTAGTCTGTTACTAAAATCAGTCCATGCACAGAAGAAAGGGGAAAATGAAATGTACATATCTGTAAAAAGCGACACTAGCTAATAAAATGAGAGATATCTGAGAGGTAAGTAATGCTTTTGTGACTTTAGGTGGCAGTGAGGCTTACACAAATACTGTTTTTATACTAGGTGTGCATTCCTGTTGTTTTCCTTACACCTCCCATTTCTCTTCCTCCTGAGTTACAATGTGTGATAATGAGATTCTCAGATGTTGTTTCAGCTCAGATTGCGGTTTTCTCCACCCATGTTGAAAGTAGCAGGGCCAGAAGAATGGTGATCATTAAGAAAATTGTTGAGCTCTTAGAGGGAGGGTTTCCAGCAGTCAAACATATGTAGCCATGCCTTACCCTGTGGCTACTGCTTAGCTAATGAGCTAACTGATGAAGTGGCATCTTTCTAAAAATCTGGAGAGTTGAGGGGAGGAATATTAGCAGTGTGCAGCTACGGGCCTGCAAAGATTATACCACTCACTCCTCATTGGAATTCCATGCGGTTTTCAATCCATTCAGGAAACAACATGGTGTTCGAAGTCACCCCTCATTCCTTAGCTTTCCTTACAGCTTTTAAACACCCACAATTTACATGACCTGGAATCTCCTTTTTGTTGGAGAAACTGCACTTGATACATTCTAATTACTATGTAACCTGTGCTGAATGAACAAAGAAACAATCTACACCCCCCTAACTGCACATTCACATTAAAGTGATGCTGCATAATTAGAAGTGACAGTGAAAAGGAACCAAATGAACTAGTCACAGGCGTACAATAAGTGGGAACATATAGACTAAGGCATTCCAGCACAGCAGTAATTACTCTCTAATCTCTCGCAATTTAAGAAAGATTCTGGTCTTGCTTATTTCTACCACTTGTTTCTTACCGATTCCACAGCAGCTTCAAACACCAGGTCTGTCCATGCCAGGAGCTGCATTGAAAATAACGTGCAAAGTACTAACAGGCAACTCCCATATGTATCACTACATTGCAAACCTTAAGTGGATCAAGATTAGATGTTTTCTTCGATAACAGCGGGCATGCCTATAAGCATTCTGACCAGTATCGGTAACACCGTCACAGAAAATGAAATACCACATTGATAATAATGTGATAATAGCATTACAGTTGATAATGAAAGCGATTTAATGTGGATTTTATACCTCAATTCTATTACATATTTCAGTTTTTTTCATTATTTATTTTTTTCCCACTTATTTCTGATTAATATGCGTGCTGCCCTTGAGCATTTCAGAATAATACAAGAATTCCCGACAGCTGTTTTTAGGCTCCAGAATGCAGAAGGCTTTCTACTTCTTCTGAAGCTCTTAACAGGTCCTTCACCTGGGAGATGTGACGAATATGTCCATAAGTGAACCACTAGCTTAGGATATTGATGATTCAAGGAGACAAAAGAAAAGAATCTCTATCAGATAAATTTGTCTCATGCATGATGTTGTGGATTTCCTATAAATGATGGTGGCACTTATTTATTTTTGTTCTGTTCAGGGATTTCTTTATGCACAAAGCCATTATATCAGATGACAATACTGTAAATGTTACAATACCAGACAAAAATGCATTTAATTACACAAATAAGTAAAAGAGGGATTATTTGATTATTCCTTCCATCATAATAAGTCATAAAAGTATGAATACCTCTTAATTAAACAGCATGGGATAGGAGTGATGGATTGGATCGGTGTGCCTTTCTTGAAACAAAACAGCAGTAGAAACAGAAATGAAGATCCTTTTAACAGCATGTATAATATGTTAACATGTATCTTGCACAGGTGTGGAGGGGTCACTGGAGTTCACAAGTTTAAATGTATTTTTATTTTAATCTGGAGGAGGGAAACATGGTGTTGTCCTTTTGTTCTGAGTTTGATTAATTCTGTGTTCTTGTGCATTCTAACATCCCACTCCCATCCATTATCAGGAAGCTGCTAAATCCTGGAGCCTCTTGCTGAATTTCTTGAGCAGTTTACACACGAACAAGCACACGCACACACATGCACACAACCTGTAGACACTCCGTCTCACCGCCGTTTGTTGCTGAAAGTGGGGAGGACAGCAGAGCACGTGGAGAAAACTCACAGACGCATACTAAATTCCCATCTGTCCATTTTCTAACCACATCCTCCACTGCAGGGTCACAGGGGAGCCAGAGCCTTACCTGGCTCGCATGAATGGATGGTGTACCATCACAGGAAATTCAGGCGAATATGGGAGAACATGCAGACTCCACGCAGACAGCACCCCAGGTCCGGAGCTGAACCCGGGGCCGCAGT